AATTAGAGGTTTGCTGGTCAACATACTTTCCCAAACATTCAACATTTTCATCATTTAAATAAGGTAATTTGTCAAATTGCAAACAATTGAATTAACAAATGCCACCAAATAACATGGGTCTCTATATCATTTGTGAAATGATGTAATGAACAAGAGGAAAGAGCACCGCCCTGACTTAAACCCCTTTTGTATTCTCAAATTACGTTGCAATGTAAATGATGTTTAAGCACACGCCACCCAAAAATAAACCTTGATAACAATTTCAATTATGTTCTCCACAAACCACAATTGAAGAATCACCAGATTTTTTGTGGTTTTAATTTTGATTAATTCTCTAAAACGGAGACGAGTCATCCATCATTTGGGAATGAATCCGGTTCTGATATCAGTCAGATTAAAAAATCTAAAACTGATTGTTATATTCGGCTTATTGATGAATGGTGTCGAAACGCGAGAGACTATCAAATGAACCTCGTGTTTTATGTGTAAAGAATATATTTAGCTATGGTGAATGGGGCGAGCTGAAATCTCTATAATTATTTGGTCTTAAAAAACGATCGAGATGTATGATTATACCAGCTAAAGCATATGTTACCAAGCAATAAACATGATATTGGTGTACCCGTATACCTTTAGATCAAACCTTTTTTATTTTCATCATGTGAACCTCTAAGCTGAATGTAAGATATAAGTTGTAGGTTTAATTCGAAAATGAATTTCCGATTTTTGAAATAGTGAAAGAAACAAGCTTTCTAATATATTTTTCTTTTATTTTCTTTTAGGCTGGAGTCATTACTAAATCCAAAGTCCAATGCCACGTTCCCTGTTCCAATCCGATCAAACGAAAACGACAATGTTGTCCGTCTTGCAAAGGTAAGAACTCAATTTTCAACTTTCACTTTGTGAACATTAGAGCCTGGACACTCAAGATCGATATCGGTAGTCCTGATCAAATAATCGAGACAAACAGATGGTCAGCTGGAATCTGGATGTCGTCTGGTCGTGCATCACGTAATGTCATAGAAACGGGATGCAGACGAGACTAAGGGGTCAAGGTCAAAGTACAAATCTATCGATCAACCAGCTTTATGATAAAATTCGGTTTCTAACTCGAACGAGAGTTTGACGGGTGATATTTATTCTCGAGATGACGTTAATAAAGGTTTGCCCTCTCATAAAATGTCAAGCAGTGCAAAAAACCAGTCGGAAAAGTAGAAAATACGAAACTGTATACGATATTTTATCATAACGAGTTTTGAAAAGTTCAACTTATGTTTGGTTTTATTTGGGACTAAATGGGCGGTCCATTGTTGGCAGTGAAAGGGGAGTCTGTTTACCCTTCTCCGGTGTCCTTTTCGTTTATTGTCCACCCCTAGTCCACCTAATGTCCACTTAATGACTTGTAAAGATCAACCGTACATAAAATATGGCTAAGGATGTCAAGAGAATAAGAGACACTGAGTTAGAAACTCTAGAAGAAGTCTTTGACTTTGGGGCATTTAAGGAGTTTTGGATGTTTACGTTGTTTACAGAAACCCAGCATCTCCTCACCTCCTTTCCAACGTCAGAAAAACGAAATACATTTGATGATCAGTTCTAAATTTCACATCAAAAGATTTTATTTCGCTCATTAGACACGTTTTGGGATTTTATCTGATTTCTTAGAGTAGACTCAATCATCGAGTGAGATAAGGCATTAGACCTTTCTTGCTCTATTCCATATTGCTACTTTCGTTTTATCAACGTTCAAATACTAATTACGTGCATGAACGTGCAAATTACGCATCAGCATACAGATAAATTCATTCCGAAATAATATTAATGTTAAATATTAACCCCTGTTTTCTAATTTTAGGTTGCCATTTTGACGGTGCCGACAGAAAAAATGGTGAAAAATTTGCCCTCGCATCTGATCCATGTGTTGAATGCAAGTGTAGGGTAAGTGAAAATATTTTTAATCGTAGCTCAAGATATAAATTTTCAAAATCATTTTATGTCGAATCTGCGAGTCTAAAAAACCCATGTTTGACAATTTTTTTAATTATTTTTTTTTTTTTTTTTTTTTAAGAAAGGAAGTGTTACTTGTATGAAAAGAGCTTGCCCTGTTTTGAATTGTCCCGATGAAGTCATTTACCAACCAAAAGGCGAATGTTGCCCAAAATGCAAAGGTATGTAATTAATTTAAAAAACTTTTTCGATTTACGTCGAACGTTTTAATTAATTGATTTACTTCAGATGTCGATCTGAAGATTTCCAATTTAAGATATGACTTTGATATTTTCTTATCGAGAAAATAAATCGAATTCCTTTCAAACGACCTTAAATGAATTTTCGAAATGTTTTCAAGGGAAGAACAAAATCACCTGATGTCATTACCACTTGGTTTTTCATTTTTATTTGTTTTTTTGATATTTTAACTCACTTTCATAGTGATATTTTTCTAAATATTCCATTTCGTTTTTAATTGCAGGAATGAGAAAGATTTTTGACTTCCCTGGTGCCTGTTATTTCGCTAAACGTGTTTATGTGGATGGTTTTTCTTTTGAACCTAAATCCGAAACAAGATGTACCTGTACGGTAAGTGGCTTATCAATTTAATCAAAAAATTTTGTATCGCACTTCAAGATTGGCATTTGAAAAAACAAAACTCAGAAATAAAATCAAATTCGCTTTCTGGTCTTAATTATAAATTTATGAATTTTGAAATATTTGTAACACTTTGATTTGATTTTTAATTTATTTTTTAATTTCAGAAAGGAACAGTTATTTGTGAAAAAGCAACCTGCCCTCCCGTAGCATGTCCAGTAGAAGAGCGAGTACAGAAAGGCAGCTGTCAAGTTTGTGAACCCAAAAGAAATTGTTTATATGATGGAAAAATTCACATGGTAAGTCTCTTTTTCATGCTGCTACAATTTTTCATTTCATTTCATCATTAGTGTACTTTATTTCATTTCATTAGTATTTTTTAAATTCATTTCAATAGTATATTTAAATTCATTTCATTAGTATAATTAAATTCATTTCATTAGTATATTTAAATTCATTTCATTAGTATTTTTTTTAATTTCATTTCATCAGAATATTTAAATTCATTTCATTAGTATATTTAAATTCATTTCATTAGTATATTTAAATTCATTTCATCAGTATATTTAAATTCATTTCATTAGTATAATTAAATTCATTTCATCAGAATATTTAAATTCATTTCATTAGTATATTTAAATTCATTTCATTAGTATATTTAAATTCATTTCATCAGTATATTTAAATTCATTTCATCAGTATATTTAAATTCATTTCATTAGTATATTTAAATTCATTTCATTAGTATATTTAAATTCATTTCATCAGTATATTTAAATTCATTTCATTAGTATATTTAAATTCATTTCATTAGTATATTTAAATTTCATTTCATATTTCAAAACATTTTCATTTCATTTCATTATTTAATTTTATTTTATTTTTCAGCATCGATCAAAGTGGCAACCCAGAATGTGTACCCAATGTTCTTGTCAAAATGGAGTAACCTACTGTCAAAGAGAAAGGTGCAACAATTCACTGTCGTGTCCCAATGGCTATAAACTTCAATTTCAACCTGGTGAATGTTGTCCTAAATGTGTTGAACGTAAGTTTTTCAATTTTCATCTCTAATTTGCAATTTGACCAAAAATATTTGTTATGATTTTTATGCTATTCTGAGTAAATTGTATTTATTTTATAATTCGTTTCGGTTGTTTCTTAATATTTAAATTCCATATTTTAGATGATGCCGTATGCCGAGTTTTTGGTGACCCCCATTATAGAACCTTCGACGGAAAGATGTATAACTTCCAAGGTACCTGTAAATACATGTTGAGTCAAGATTGTCAAGGCAAAGATTTTACTATCAAAGTGAAGAATGGTGTGCGGTTATCCAGTGGTTTTGCTTGGACTCAGATGGTCGTAGTGTTAATGGGAGATACAAGAATCAGCTTTCGTCAAAATCTACTCATCAAAATCAACCGCCGTCGAGTTCAGCTTCCTTACACCATTCCGGGAAAATTCAGCATTCGTCGTGAAGGTCATTCTGTAACATTCCGGGCTGATATTGGTCTAAAGGTTGTCTGGGATGGTGACAGTTTCCTGGAAGTCACTGCCAGTAGAAAATACAAGAACCGACTCTGTGGGCTGTGTGGAAACTACAATGGACTCGAAACCGACGATCTGATCGGTCGCAAGGGGAAGAATTATCTACGAGGTGAAGAATTCGGAAATTCCTGGAGAATTGGAAGTAAGAAAGCCTGCAAGACCCAACCAAAAGTTAAGAATCTCCAATCTATTTGTGATAAAGACTTCAAAGCCAAAGTTCGAGCCAACAAAGAATGCAGTGTCCTTTATTCCCGCGCTTTCTCATCCTGTCGACGAGTTGTCGACGTGACTCCTTACGTCACTTCCTGTGTTACCGACATGTGTGATTGCCCCCATGGAAAGAAATGCTCCTGTGAATCCATCCAAGCCTACGCCCACGAATGTAAACGAGCTGGCCATAAAGTGAAGTGGGAGAAAGTTTCAAATTGCAAAGGTATGTAGCATCATCAACACCTGCTATCACTTTATTTTGAGACCTCATCAAGCACTGCCAGTGTAATTTTCCACTAGGGAATTAAGTGCCTTGGACGCAAATCGAATATGGAAGCGATCAAAGTTCTCAGGTATCCAAAACACATGTTTACAGTCAGTGGATTCTCTAATAATGTTCGTTGTTTAAAGCCCCTGGGGAATTTTATCATAATGTTTACTTTGTTTACAAAATATTTATTGTTTTCTCTTTGTTTTTTCAGCTCCACAAAAGAATTGTCCCAAAGGCGCTTACTACTCATTATGTGCACCAGCCTGTCCCAAAACCTGTTCCAGCAACAAACCAGACGGAAGCTGTTCCAAGAAATGTTCCCCAGGTTGCGTCTGCCAAAATGGTGCTGTTTTATACAAAAACAGATGTATTTCTCCAGAGAAGTGTCCAAAAACGTAGACGACGTACCAAGAATGCCATCGGAAGGCTGAAAATACCAATTATCCATGGTGCCTTGCCAGTAGGCGCATCTATCATTCCACTGTTCCGTACAGATTCAGAATGTCGGTGGTGGTGACCTTTGATTAAAGGTCAGACGAGAAGAAACGTGAAACCGGAAGTAGTCCGAGAAATCATCTGGAAGGCTTAATATCAAATAAGGTTTCGAACCGAAGACACCAGCCCCTGGGGAATTAATGGCCACAATGAAACAATACGAGTAACATCAAATAGTCATGACATAGTTACCTCCCTTTACAAGTCTGCACTCTTTTATCAAGGAGGAAAGAACAATATATCAGTGCTTTTTCTACCTCTAAAACTAAAGATCGTAGTGCTCAACGTATGCTATGTACGTTATGATAATAGTGCAATATATTTGTTGATGTTGGTGAAAAAAAACCCAATTAAGTCATAATATTAAATACCAAATGTGATGCTATGTTGTTTGTGTTTTGTTAATGCTATGTTAATTGTAATGTTACAATTTTCATCTTATGATATTGCAAAGAAATACTGCAAAGTTTGTAATGTTATAATTACTGCAATGTTGTGTTGTAATGTTATAATTACTGCAATGTTGTAATTTAGGTGCTATTTTGATGTTGATATTAAAGATTAAATACAAATTGTATTGTCGTGAATATTGTTGAAGTATTTATTTGTATTGTGTTATATATATATATATATATTATTTATATTTTTTCTGTATTTGTATATAAGGCGATATTAATTTATTTTGTAAATAAAACCTATTTATTATAGCAAAGTTTTTAGATTTATTTGCCTTTCTTAACATCTAAATGAAATGAATGGAGTTTTACGTTCTATTCTTCTGCACCAAGCCAAGACAAGAGCTCATCCCATATAAACAAAAAGCACTAGAGATATTTGGAAATTTGGAGACTTAACCTTTGAAAATTTCAAACACTCACCGGTAGCTGAATAATTTCGTTGTAACAAATTCTTAATATCACCTCTAAGGTACTCTTCTGAATTTCGTTCTAGCGTTCCATTCTTTCAATTTCTCGGGAACTCTTCTTAATTTCATTACAACTGGCTGTTATTGTTTAACTTCATTTTGTTACAATAGGCTGAAACAAATTACGTTCTAACGAAATTGTTACAGTTTTGTTTTCGGATTACCATATGAAATCGCTTTCTGTCATAATTCTTTCTCTCCAATTTTGAGTAAGAATAAATATTTTCTAACTATCATCATTTCAAAATTTTATTTTCAAATTTCGTTTCAACGAATTGACTGGCATTTGAATTCCTAATGACTCAAATGTTTTAGAATATGAAATATATATCGGTCAGGTTATGAACAGATTTCAAATCTGGAATGACATTGAATGTCAGTGACACTGACGTCATCAGCGAAATAATTAATCTGATTCGTGGTTCACTAATTAACATGAATTTATCTCATTAGCATAAATGTATCTTATAATAGATTTATCTAGTAAACAATAACATAGAGTTATCTTATTAACGTGAATTTATCTCATTATCATAGATTTATCTTATTAGCATAGATTTATCTCATTAGCATACTTACTAATAGCATAATTTATCTACGTTATAATAGCATAGATTTATCTTATTAGCATAGATTTATCTTATTAGCATAGATTTATCTTATTAGCATAGATTTATCTTATTAGCATAGATTTATCTTATTAACGTGAATTTATCTCATTATCATAGATTTATCTCATTATCATAGATTTATCTCATTATCATAGATTTATCTTATTAGCATACTTACTAATAGCATAATTTATCTACGTTATGATAGCATAGATTTATTTCATTAGCATAGATTTATCTACTAAACAATTACATAGAGTTATCTTATTAACGTGATTTTATCTCATTATCATAGAATTATCTTATTAGCATAGATTTATTTTATTAGCATACTTACTTAAAGCATAATTTATCTATGTTATAATAGCATAGATTTATTTCATTAGCATAGATTTATCTCATTATCATAGATTTATCTCATTATCATAGATTTATCTCATTATCATAGATTTATCTTATTAGCATACTTACTAATAGCATAATTTATCTACGTTATAATAGCATAGATTTATTTCATTAGCATAGATTTATCTCATTATCATAGATTTATTTTATTAGCGTACTTACTAATAGCATAATTTATCTACGTTATAATAGCATAGATTTATTTCATTAGCATAGATTTATCTCATTATCATAGATTTATCTCATTATCATAGATTTATTTTATTAGCGAACTTACTAATAGCATAATTTATCTACGTTATAATAGCACAGATTTATTTCATTAGCATAGATTTATCTAGTAAACAATAATATAGATTTATCTTATTAACGTGAATTTACCTCATTATCGTAGATTTATCTTATTTATTTATCTTAATAGCATACTTACTAATAGTATAATTTATCTACGTTATAATAGCATAGATTTATTTCATTATCATAGATTTATCTCATTATCATAGATTTATTTTATTAGCATACTTACTAATAGCATAATTTATCTACGTTATAATAGCATAGATTTATTTCATTATCATAGATTTATCTCATTATCATAGATTTATCTTTTAAGCATACTTACTAATAGCATAATTTATCTACGTTATAATAGCATAGATTTATTTCATAATCATAGATTTATCTCATTATCATAGATTTATCTTATTAGCATACTTACTAATAGCATAATTTATCTACGTTATAATAGCATAGATTTATTTCATTAACATAGATTTATCTCATTATCATAGATTTATCTCATTATCATAGATTTATTTTATTAGCGTACTTACTAATAGCATAATTTATCTACGTTATAATAGCACAGATTTATTTCATTAGCATAGATTTATCTAGTAAACAATTACATAGAGTTATCTTATTAACGTGAATTTACCTCATTATCGTAGATTTATCTTATTTATTTATCTTAATAGCATACTTACTAATAGTATAATTTATCTACGTTATAATAGCATAGATTTATTTCATTAGCATAGATTTATCTACTAAACAATAACATAGAGTTATCTTGTTAACGTGAATTTACCTCATTATCGTAGATTTATCTTATTTATTTATGTTAATAGCATAGATTTATTTCATTAGCATAGATTTATCTAGTAAACAATTACATAGAGTTATCTTATTAACGTGAATTTACCTCATTATCGTAGATTTATCTTATTAGCATAGATTTATCTTATTAGCATACTTACTAATAGCATAATTTATCTACGTTATAATAGCATAGATTTATTTCATTAGCATAGATTTATCTAGTAAACAATAATATAGAGTTATCTTATTAACGTGAATTTACCTCATTATCGTAGATGTTAATAGCATAGATTTATTTATTTAGCATAGATTTATCTTAGAATTAATTTATCGAAATTTGCAGAAATCTTTTGTTGCTAATTATTTTAATAAGGTGATTAGTTCTTGTGCTGATAAAAATATAAACAAATTCTTTTTGCTTTCAATTTTTAGAAGTGTTTCTTATAAGTTTAAATTCAATCTTACGAAAACACACTTTTTTCAACACAAAGTCAGACTATAAAGTCGATATTTTGAATTTGGTTTTACAAGTCGTTAAATTTCAAATAAGCGACAATATTGTGCGAAGACGGTATCTCTGAAAACATTGGATTTACTTAATTTCATTTTGGGCAAATGTATAAAATTAACAATTTCAATGAAAATGGCAATATTACTCACCTAACTTCTAGCCTGACTTCGTCAAATAACTAAAACTTCTTGCATTCAACATAGTAAATATAACTATGACTAGTTTTTAAGATAATCTCAATTGACATGACATGACCATGGATTTTTCTTAATTAGACACTTGTTCACTAATTAGCATGAATATAGTTCATTAATATTCAGTTTTAAGTACTTTTAACATTTATCGGATGACAAAACACTTTTCAATATTTTCGGAAAAAAATACATAACCCTATTAAGTATTTCAATTTATGTTGAATACAAATAGGCCTAGTGGAACGGTACGTCATATTTTGTGTAAAAAAAATCAATATTAAAGGGACAGATGCGCCATTTTCTGGGGTTGATTTGAGTTCTGGATATATATGTACATAGTCTTCAGAATTAATAGAAATGTACGAAAATTGCATAATTCCTTCAAAAATATCTCAAACTATCAATTTCTTCCTATTTCGATAGATGTTTTTTTCTGTATATGGTAGTGTCTCAAAATAAGACGATTCGTCTTTTTAACTTTCAAACGCGGATAATTTCTGGACACACGTGGATTTGAAGGGTCAAAATTAGACAGTGAGCTGTGAACACTATTACCGATTAGTTTAACTAACAAATTTCTAAGATTAAAGTATGATTGGTTAAAAAAATACCGCTTCCGTCCTTTTTATTACTAGTGTTAAAAAAACAGTCATTTTGAAATAAAATTCAAAAAATCATTTGATAGAAATGTATATCGGAAAATTTCATTTGAAAAAAACAGGAAAAAGTATAATAATGTAAAAATTCTTAAGGCTGTTCACCTTACTAATGATATTAACATTTCTTTGTCCTAATTCGGGGTAAATCCGTGAACACATTTTCCTTGATATACGAATGTAAAGGACACAATCAAACTTTCTGATCACATTTTAGCCAATTAATCGAATGTAACTGACGTTATTGTTTATACCTATCTATGTGAACACTTCTTTCTCGATTTTTCGAATATAGTTGATTATTATATTGTTATGTCTTGTTTGTATCATCAGTGAACACTATTTAGTTTCAAGTATACTTTGGCACTATACACCCGGGGGGTAAGGGGGCAATTTAGAAATTTTAGGTGGGTAATCAGTCGATTTGCAGTCCAGTATATTATTCTTTAAGACAATGATATTTTAAGGTGTTCTAATCAGTCAGGCTATATTCTCTGACATGCAAAAACGATTGCAGGGAAAACTTCAGAGAAAATCACGAAATAGTAAGGATTTATAGGGGAAAGGGGTAATGGAAAGAAATGGGCTGAAAACCCCTGCTATAGACTGTGGTCCTTGTTTCTGTATTTTAGTGAACACAACTTACCCAACGATTGGAATGCAGCTTGTAAGTGATGACAACTTATGAATATATTAATCCGTCTTTTGCGTCAATACCGTGATTACAAGTTTGACATTAATTTGTTGTTCAACATAGTGGCGAGACAGATGTGGCATTAAGCTTGTTTAAATTAGTGAACACATTTTGTCTAAAGATTCGAATACAATAAACAAAAATGCGTGCTAGATACTTTGTCTACAATCAGTCCAAATTTTTTGGCTAAGTAAGTGAACACATTTTGCCTAATGATTTGAATAGAGCTGACATAATGACATGATAGTGGGTTAATTTATCGTTAGGTGATATATTGTTAACGTGAGTAGTGTTAACATCAATAGAAGAAGGCAATTTTTTGTTAATTTCCACATTTTTATACGCCCACATGGACGTGGGCGTATATTGTCGGCACCCCCGTCGGTCCGTCCGTCCGTCAACATTTGCTTGTAAACGCTCTAACAACTAGATTTTTTGATGGAATCGAATGAAATTCGGTATGTGTATACATATTCACAAATCGAAGATCAAGTTCGAATTTGAGCTATTTTCAACTGTTAGAAGCAGAGTTATTGCCCTTGCCCCAAAATCTTAAATATTTACCATCCGCATGCCGTGGTGGGCGTATATGGCTGTGGTCCACTATCTTTACCATAAGAAATAATAAAATGTTAATCAACATATCTATTTTTCGAAACTCTTAGCTTACACTTTATTTATTAAAAATCTTTTGGCTTTTTTTTACCCTGGGCTGTGCTTTTATGAGACTATGGTCCAATCAACATCTAATACTGTTGTCGATAGTGAATTGAATTATTGACATCTGCTTCTACAGGTGCTAAAGGAAGTGCGGATTTTTTGTTTGAAAATAGTGAATGCCGTCCGCTTAGCGATTTAGTGTAGTGCGTTTGACACCTGCCCTCCCTCCTCCCCCCTGTCCCCTATTCTCTTTCCACTTCTAGGTATGTAAAATTTGTTGATGCCATAGTTCGGTTGGTTAATGTCTACTTTCAATACATAATACAATTCAGACATCGAACTAGTTAAAGGGAGATAATTCATTCAAATATTTAAAAAGAGACTATTGCATTATCCTATGTTTTATTTCACTTCGTATCAAGTCGAAACTTTGGCTTTCGTGTATACAAAGTCTGGTGTTACAGTTGTTGTGGGTCCCAAGCCAAAGTTGACGCGAGTTGTTTATCTGGAGTAGAAGGCGATAAGGTCACAGCTTCATATCTGTCACTTATGGTCTCTCGACTGCCAGATTTCAGAGACCCGTACTCCAACTCTGACAGCGGCTCTGATAAACGAGATAAACTCTGTAACGCAGAGCTATGAGGTCCCTTATGGACTGGGTGACTCCTTTCGAGACTGGACGGACTCGTCATTGCCAACTCTTTCTCCAACTGTCGCTTCTCGTGTCGCTCTTCTTCCAACAGCTTCTCAGATTCCAAAATGTCTGCTTTCAGATCGGTTGCAAAGGATTCAAAATTCGGATTGATTTCGGATTCCAGCTCGTAATCCTGATCGAGTACCACAACCTGAAAACGTAACATCTTCATTTCGCTCTCACCCACTTGCAATCGATGCTTTAACTGTTCCATATTGCGCTGGAGATCGAAATATTTGGACGTACCACTAATAGCAGATTCGAAGATCTTCTGGTTTTCCTTTAATCGGATTTGATCAAAATGGTGCGCTCGCTTCACATCATCCAGACGTTGTTTGATGGACTTGTGTTTCGATTTTAAAACCATTAAGCGTTCTCCTCGAGAATGCAAGCTATCCAGCTCACATCGGTAGTTACTCAAGTTCGCCTCCAAATCATCAATGTTTCGACTAGTCTCACGAAGCTTGATCACTAAATAATTGTAGCCATTTTCAGTGAGCGGCGAAGGTTCCGGACTCGGCGATCGTGAAGGATCAGAACCAGAAAACGACCCCGTTAACACGGAAACTCCAGATCCATCGTCTGGAATCTTGAAATAATCTCTATCTACACTATCTAAGGTCCTTTCCCTAGAATTCCCACTGCTGTGCTCGTCTGGTTCTCTCGAGACATTGATCCTGGTTGTTTTTGATGAATGTAGTCTCGGTTGATCTATTCTACACGTGTTCCCGTCTATTCCATTGCTTGTTCTTGACGTTTTCCCCAGTGTTGCATTTCGCATTGGCGTGTTGGGTTCTTGGAAATTGCTTGTTTCGGAGTTGGCATCATCACTTCTAGCAGTACCAAGGTCTAGTTTTAAATCACTATCATCTACGAAAATATGTGGCTGAACAATAGCTTGTTCGGGTTTGTATTTTGCTACTCGAGGTTTCTTGATGAAGATTCTTTGGCGAGTTGAAGATGTGGACGCAGTCGAGCTTCTTCTGGGTTTGGATGTGAAAGGCCGAGCTGGTCGCGCAGTTTGAGATGGGACCACGGGGGTACTGGATTCGAGCTGGGGTCTCGCCGATCGCGATTTTAATCCAGGAGAAGGTGCAGTGATAGAAGCCTGTACCCTATCCACTTCCGATCTTGGGGTCTCGGGTCGTTCCAACGGTAACGACGGGTATACTTGATGAGCTAGTCGTAGCCATTGTTTTGAAAGTTCTATACATTTATGACACTTGGTGAAAATGTCGGGAACAAATCGTAACAAATGTCGATAAGGTTCGAAATTGCTCATATGATGAAGTTCATATTCACTATCTGGATCAAAATCATCAGCATCAATAGGCCGATCCTCTTCCGGCAAGAGATTTTCCCATCGGTCCTTCATGTCAGTGAGTTCGTGGACGATTACGGAGAGTTTCTTATTTTCGTCACCACTGATAATGTCTAAGGTGGAAACGCCTAAAAGTCTAGGCGACTCTTCCGGCTCCTCGACCACAGCCTCGAACGAAACTCGACGTCTGTCATTTTTGGTCGTCTGCATAGAGTCACGTGGTTGCCTTCCACTACTTACAGGAGCTGCAGCGATATTGTAATAGAATTTATGAAGATAATTATAAATTTCCACGTCGAAGCTGGTTTTAATGATTTTGATGTGGTTGATATCGTTTTGAAAATTGTGGAAATAGTTTAATAGTCTTCGTTCATCATCGGATGGTTTGCCATTGGAGCTGAGCTTGATGCGGACCAGTATTCGTTGAATGTCGCCAACAGACGAGAGATGCGACTTCTCTGTATACTGCATCAGTCTTCCGAGAAATATCTGGAGATTTTCCTTTGAAAATCTGGACATGCCATGCAGCAGCCATTTTTCAAGAACTGCTAGTTTGGCTTTGATACTTTCGGTTTCCTGCTTCTCTTTTACTGGTTCCTGCAAAAGAAAAATAGTTATATTTGCCTGTCTCAATATCTCAATAATATAAGTTCCCTTGATACATATATACAAAGACTAGAAATCAGAATGATGTACATATGTAAATAGAATCTATAAGTGTGGTATATTAGGCTCATATATATCCCTTGTCGAACAAAATTACGTTTGTTATACAAGTAAGATAATTATAATATAATATAGTTTGATCCTATACAACTGATTAATCGGATCGGATCTTAATAACTTATATCTGATTATATTATAGTATATTATTATACAATCTGTTAATATACTCTTACTATTTAAAGTGGTAGTATGTACTGATTTACAGCAAATAATATAACTTGAAACCCCTTTATCATTGTCGTAATAAAGGATCGAAAAGGGTTTTGTTTTGAAAGCGATAACCAATTGAAGTTCGTGGAACTAGGATGACATTGTATTGATATCGAAGGACTCAGATTTACAAACAGGTCCGTAGCTACATTGGGAGAGGGGGAGGGGCAGGGGCAGGGACAGGGACAGGGGCAGGGGCAGAGGCAGGGGCAGGGGCAGAGGCAGGGGCAGGGGCAGGGGCAGGGGCAGGGGCAGGGGCAGGGCATGGGGGGGGGGGGGGTATTCCATTGCTGCAACTACACATCATACACTGTTGCCCTTCCAGATATATTACTCGCCCCTTCAAATAATCAAATCTAGCCGCGGGTCTGTAAACAAAACCCGATGTATTTGAACGTTGTTCTGTAACATACTTCCCCTTTACAGTGGTTGCACATTGTTTTAAATGCAATAAGCACTTGTATAGAAACAGGTAAAATAAATGATATAGTACTAAATATATGTATAAGATCCTCAGTGTTCGTGGATCCCTAAAATTAAGCGATAAAAACACAAACCTACCTGTAATTGAGACTGTATATCATGTATAAAATCACTGGAAAATATTCCCACTGTTTTAGTCGGCAGCATGATTTTGTCCGTTCACCCACGATCCCTAACTATTCTGAAGTACGGACGATCTGATATGGCCCCGGTTGACTTGTTATGAACAATCGCTATAACGCCCCGTTCGATGATTTATATTATAATACATATATCTATTTACACTAATATACAAGTTCATATTAATCCCATTACCAGTTTAAAGCCACGATATGTGGGATGATCCCTAGCTTAATAAAATCAAACAAAAAATAACGATAGCTGCGATTTGATTGGATTGTACGCCAGTGAATACAGTTAATGAGAGCCCACGACAAAAAGGCTTTAAACAATATTACAGTCTTTCTGTGGAGGGCTCTCTCTGGTTGGCTGTATTCGTTACAGTCCAATCAAATCGCTGGAGTTACAAACTCAAGATACAAGAATAGTGGTTATTGCAGTCAAGGATATAAAACGAAGTAGGCTATAGCTTGGCATGGTGAGGATATAATGTGGAAGTGACAATAATCGTAATGAAAAATAATAATAGGGCGTAAAACTCTAGAACACAATAATGACATATATTGACTGTCGTAGAGTTGCTCATGAGTAACAAATACAGAACAAAACAATATTAGGACGTAAAACTCCACCCCGACGAAAATATAACATGTAGTCACTTTAAGCAAGACAAACTGCTATGTTGGAGATTAGCTATATTGGGGATTAAGAGATCACGTGGTTTATTTTGGTAAATATTGTGTGGATTAAAATGAATAAAACAGAAACACGGTACCACACCTTGCACTGGGTCATAATATGCACTTTTTTATCACTCAGTCGGCAAGTTTCAAATCAATAGAAAGGAAAATTTGAAAGGCCTTTGAAATTTACTTAAAGGGATTGCCAACAGGTTTTCTAAATTTTTGATGTGTATCGGGGAAACTGATAGCATCAATTTGCGTCAATGAAATTTTCAATCAGACGTCTGTGGTTCCTACAATTCCACTAAGCCCAAGATGACATCACTAATCGCAAAATATGCTTTATCACAGTCATAACTCAACTCCCTTCGCAATTAGTGACGTCATCAAACACTTAGTTAAGGTGTCAAATCTAAAACAGAAAAGTATTCCATTTCATTTGTGAAGTCTAACAAATGTATTGGACAGTTAATCAAATTATAGTCTACTTCTGTTTGAGAAGTTAACACGAGCAGAGCAGAGTTGGCAATCGAACGCAACATGACACACGAGAGAAGACAACTCTCTCAAGATGCAGACGTGAATTTCTGTAAAAAAATGTCTACTTGTAAGGGTATGTCGACGTGTAGCAGGCTTCTGTCGGTGGCTGGCTTGTTGAATCGTGTAAATGATGTCATAATATGCGGTGATTTGAAGAAGTCTAAGGAACATGTTTTGTATTTTGGAGGGGATGTGCAGGTAAGACTTGCAAATGGCCGTGTTCGATATGTTGACTGTTGTTTAGCCCAGACTCCCCGGTCCACTTTACTATGTAAGCCTACGTTTCGTCTCTTTTAGCCGATAATTGATCCAATATTGAAGAAGTTTCCTTTTAATAGGCTAATGATCATTATATTTTTGTCAAAGTAGACTACAAAATACGTGATAGTCCGAAAACTTCTGAAATAAAAAACTATTATGTTACTGTTCGTCTACAATGAAGTATCGCTGAAAATACCAATCATGTTTTTTTTTCACATGTAAATTTATCAAACCTCGTTTATTAAATTTCTATGGAGCCGAGAAAAATTTGAATATAATTTGTGAAATGATCGAAAAAGTCTAGTTCGAGATTCATTGTTGACGTTAAGTATGACAAATACTAAGCCTATAGTGGATAGGATAGGAAATATCAGGTGAGGGGGGCCGAGCACAAAACTATGTTAAATGATAATAATTTGAAAGTTGGGGAGGGGGGGGGGGGGCAGGGATTGCTTTTTCATATTTGGATAGCCAATGAATGATTTGATGGCGAATCAAGATGGTAAAGTATTGGTAGGTAGGTCTAAATATATTAGTCTTGAAAAAATACGCCTGATAAACCAGGGATTGAAAAAATAAAGTTTCAATTTCTTTTCATATAGGATTATAAAGAAAATATGGAAAGTCACCGAGACAACAAAAGATACGCTCATTGGAATCTCGAAGACACGGCTCAATTAATTCATTCCAAATTTCCTGGCTCTACGGTCTTGGTGATCAAACCATCAAAAATGCACCTGAAAACTTTTAGTGTTTATAATAATTTTGTGGAATCAAATGACTTTGGATGTCCGAGCCATTCCACAGAATATGGTGCCATTTCCAATTTGAGTAAACTATACCAAAATATTTTATCCTTATCCGATGCAGGTCCGCATCCATTATCTCTAATTGGTTTCAGTAAAGGTTGTGTCGTACTTAATCAAATAGTTCACGAACTTGTAGGACTGGATACTCTGGACAAAGAGTCTAACGAATTCGTTAAAAGAATCCAGCAATTCTATTGGTTGGATGGTGGTCATAGTGGCGGGAAAAATACATGGGTAACAGACGGCTCATCGTTAACGGCTCTGGCTCAATTGAACTGTGATATCCACGTGCACGTGACACCTTACCAGGTCAAGGACGCGATGAGATCTTGGATTGGTCGTGAGGAAAAGAAGTTTGTGAACACGCTAAAGAGACTTGGTGCGAATTTGTCCCATGTCTTACATTTCGAGTCTGAAGAAAGGTGTATCGAGAACCATTTTAAAGTCTTACAAGAGTTCCGGTGAACTTGAATCCAATTGTGAGGACTTTTATGAGCATATTATTAACCGTGTATCAAAAAAATATTTGTTGGTCTTCGTTTGAATATCGAAAAAGGAGTAGCACCAACTAGTACAAATATCCTGACAGAATATTTCTTAGTATAATGCACGACGAATAACTTCAATTTTTTTGTTTTTATTTGGCTTAAGTATACAAACCAGTACATAGGGACTCTAATAGGGTTCATTTAATTTTTTCCTCATAGGATCCGATTTTTGAATATCCAAAACAAGCTGAATCGGAAAACACATCTAGTTAAAGATGAACTAGGCTATACACCGCAATCAAAGAGTTTGGTACTTTGATGCCGGGAACTTTCTAAAGCTATGAAAAATTTGTGGGAATTTTTAACTGCCAGTTAACCAAGCATAGTTTTAAACTTTTCTAACTGAAGCATATGTCGCAATTGGGGCTATAGGAAATGAACTTCCTATCAAACTATAGACTCATGGGCGTATCTAGAGAAGGCCTTGGGGGCGGGGGCGGGGGGGGGGGGGTCTTTTATTTGCAAAATAGGAGGTCTCTCTCCGAGGGAAGGCCTCTCCTTGAGGCCGGTGGTATGGGGGATGCCAGCGACTCCCAGAAGCCAACGGTTTTCGGATGACCTGTGATGAATTTTGAGAATTAAGTGGGCTTTAAACTTCAAAATAAGACCTATCACATGTCCAAGGGGAGGACTACGGGCTAGTCCCCCTCCCCCTGAATACGCTACTATATTCCTGTATCTTTTGTCCTATCTTATGGCTTGTTTATATATATTATTTCGTTCGATATTCAGCTCAGTCATTAAGTGTGATGTATATTTATTTGTTATCAAAAATTATCATTTATAATACATCATTTTCTTTAAATAAATATTGGGGCTCTGCAGGCAGTTCTAAACAGGGATCCTTTTTCAACAGAGTAGCTCGCTCTACACGAGAGCTAACTCCCAAAAACTCATAAAGTTTGATATTACAGAGTGTTCAACAGAGTAGTTCGCTCTGTATGTAAGCCACACCCCCTAAATGCTGAAAGTAACATTAAAGCCTACTTCACAGTTTTTCACTGTATGTAAGCCACGCCCCAGACTCTATCAAAAATGTCTAAATCAATACTTTACTTTGACAAAGTTGTCACCTTTGGGTGTTAACCACGCCTCAAAGATGCTTAAAGTCATGCTTACATAGAAATGTGTTTGGCAAAATAAAAGGTTTCTGTCGTTAAATTTTTAAGGTGGGTAAGTCGTCCTCGGGTACCTCAGATGCCAATTCTAAATGCGATCTGAAGGCCAAAATTTCCCTCATTTCTCACTGCATGACATGACTTCTTTATAACCCAAATGAGGTGTAATAACGAAGGACGTAAAACTCCATTTAAAAAAAATTAAAAGCGATATTTATCTCGAAAACAACACCGTTTCGAAATGAAACCGATAGCCTTTGATCAGATAACAAAATCAAGCATCTGATATCGAACATTCACAATCACATGAGAGATAAAAACCACCTTCCTTTTTAAGCTGATTTTCGTTGAAGACGGGTGAAGTCAGAAACCAGCATCATGAAGTTCTTACTCTCAATTTTGAATTTCGCAGTCTTATATTTTTGTTTGGTTGAAAGCCAGTTCTGTGCCAAAGATGAAACACATCCTTGTAGATGTAACGGAACACTTGGAGTGGTTGATCTCAGTTCATTAGCTACAGCGAACAATGAACCGAGGTAAGATTTGGTTTGTTTCTTTTTTTTTGGCAAAAGGGGGTAGGGGGATGTGTCTTAAATAATTTTAACCCCGTGCATGTAATACTCCATGCGATGTCTAATGTTAGAACGTATTTCGTTATGTCATGTTAATTTTTTGGATAAACTTTCATTTCATTTCAGATTTAAAGACGTAGAAGAATTGAGTGGTACCTATTTGTATTCATTTTCCCCGTGTACCGCATTCAATGAAGGTGGCTGTGTTGGGGTCTCGGTAAGCACCATTTTATAGAGAAGCCGGCTTTTAAAAATTATCGATTGCCATGGAGTGCTCAGAAGCTGATATGTCATGACCCTTTCCAATCATACAATTCTCCGCACTGTATAATCTTTTGTACGTATATAGGATTCCTCCTGAACTATGTCGTATTTTATTGCTTTAACGATCCGGATCTCTTTCTGACAATTTTTTTTACAATTTATCGTTGATTTAGATTAAATAAAACGTTTTTTAGCTATCCGTATCACTTTTCACAAATCTGTTTTAATGCTGCCGTTGAACTGACGAATAAATAATTATTTTTTAGGGGTGTAAAACCGACAACTCGTCTTTCTATACCATTGGAAAACCATCGTCTTCAAATTTCTTCTACGATGAACCGAGTGATAAATTGAGCATTACTTTTATAGCGAATGAAGATACTCCACGGTAGGCTAACTTATGTAATCTTGATCTAGCAAAGGAGTCAGGGTATATCTAGCCCTTGATATATTTGCAATCAGACCAGTCAAATTAAAAGTAGACCGTTATTTATTAGCTTTTAATTTTAATATAGCCGCTTCAGTCAGGGTCTAACGACAGCCCTCTTGAACGTTCTTCAAATTGACCTTTTGACCTGACTGAAAATGACTGGTTTATTTTTTTGTTTTGTTTAGATCAATGCGAGTATTTTTGGTCTGTGACCCGAATGAAGAAGGAAGTTTGAACGTAACTGGTCCAAACCCGGTCGGATCTGATAACGAAGTAAGTATATAATGGAATTTTCAAATATCTTCGGATCTTTATCGTGCACAGCTTTCTATTTATTGTACAGTCAGAACGAATAGACGCTTTTCAACCTGTTTTAATGACAAGGGGAAACTGGTTTGGAGAGATCTATGTACTGAAGTGGTTGGCAGGAGACTGTCTCCCAAAACCACCACGTCTTCCGCGTTCACATAGAAAGTCCAATGCTCTTTTAAAACATTTTTTTATCGTAGGAAATGACGTTGACGAGTAAATATTGCTGCTTCCAAACTGGAGAAACTACAACAACCGTACCACCAACTACAACGACCACGGCCGCTCCAACGACTACGGCCGCTTTGACTACGACTCCAGAACCTGACACAACATCAGAGGAACCAGATACGACATCAGGAAGTGAAACGACAGAACCATCAGGCCCAACAGAGCCCTCAGAACCAACGTCATCCGGTCCTACAGAACCTGCTTCCGATTCGACCGAACCGCCAGCCTCCGGTTCCACAGAACCAGTTACAGGATCATCAATGCCAGCCAGTGAAACAACTGTCCCTGTTACCGGATCAACCAATCCAGACGTAACCACGACCGAATCGTCTTCTCAGTCAGTTCACATGGCAGGAGTTATTGCCCTTGTTACCCCAATAATATTGTATAAATTGTTGAATTGATTCAATTGTAAATGTGATTTTTCTCATCGTTTGTGATATTTATAAAGACATTTTAGGTTTGGGGATATACATGTTTTTCATATCGGCATTTCATTGCACGCCATTAACATTCTCACTTGCAGATATCACCAACAATAATAATATGATGACGTCATGGACTATAACTGCTCGTTAGAAAGTTAATATTGGCCCGGAATCAATGACAGTCTAAGCATCACTGTACTGCTTTGTTTAATTTCTCAAAAACCGAACGTCGGATACAGATATAGCTGTATTTAAGCTTTATGAGCTTGGCAGCTATATCCCTTTAAACTTAAATGCCGTGAATCGTTTATCATTTTACTCCTGTGTAGATACATCGCCCAAATGCTTCATTCATCCTGAAATAAATATCTTTTAATTAAATACGACCTTTTTTTTACCTTTGTTAAAACACGTGGAATTGGGTAGAAATATCTTATATTGTAGAATATTCTCATTGCCCCATTCTCCTCGTGTTCAGTGAGATCACACACTGCAAGCACATTTTAAGCATGTCCTGATGTTGGATTCGCTATCTGAAACATCTCGGCATACAATAAGGAAGTTTTCGTGTAATTTGTGGACTTTTTCTCCATTTCACGGAATTTATTTGCTTTCGTAACAAATCTAAAAAGCCATATTCCATATCAAGTCCGAATCATAAAGACAAAATCAGAATGTTCAAGGTTTCCCCCGTCGCCTTCTGGCACATGTGCTGTGTTTTTGGAAAATACCCCTTTTCCCACCTTCCGAGTGTAATGTACACAACATAACTAGGGAAACAACAGTGGCTCAACTACCTTAGGTACTGGTTGAACCAAGCCCGCTGGCCCCCATCCCCAGAAAAAAAATCGGGATAGCCTATGTTTAAAAAACCCACTTCAGGCCGCGGGCCCCAACTCATCTAGTCATTCGCCCAGTCTGGCTACACACTCAGCTTTGCAAACCCTCTAGTTAAGAACATGTTGAAAAGTAGCGTGTCAAGATTATGATGAAAACCACGAATCAAGAACATGTTGAAAAGTAGCGTGTCAAGATTATTATGAAAACCACGAATCAAGAACATGTTGAAAAGTAGCGTGTCAAGATTATGATGAAAACCAAGAATCAAGAACATGATGAAAAGTAGCGTGTCAAGATTATGATGAAAACCAAGAATCAAGAACATGATGAAAAGTGACCTGTCAAGATTATGATGAAAACCAAGTATCAAGAACATGTTGAAAAGTGGTGTGTCAAGATTATGGTGAAAACCACGTATCAAGAACATGTTGAAAAGTGGCGTGTCAAGATTATGATGAAAACCAAGTATCAAGAACATGTTGAAACGTAGCGTGTCAAGATTATGATGAAAACCAAGTATCAAGAACATGTTGAAAAGTGGCGTGTCAAGATTATGATGAAAACCAAGTATCAAGAACATGTTGACAAGTGGCGTGTCAAGATTATGATGAAAACCAAGAATCAAGAACATGTTGAAAACCAAGTATCAAGAACATGTTGAAATGTAGCGGGTCAGGATTATGATGAAAACCAAGTATCAAGAACATGTTGAAAAGTGGCGTGACAAGATTATTATGAAAACCAAGTATCAAGAACATGTTGAAAAGTAATGTGTCAAGATTATGATGAAAACCAAGTATCAAGAACATGTTGAAAAGTAGCGTGTCAAGATTATGATGAAAACCAAGTATCAAGAACATGTTGAAAAGTAGCGTGTCAAGATTATGATGAAAACCAAGTATCAAGAACATGTTGAAAAGTAGCGTGTCAAGAACATGATGAAAACTAGCAGGGGGCGTATCTAGAACATGTTGAAACGTAGCGTGTCAAGATTATGATGAAAACCAAGTATCAAGAACATGTTGAAAAGTAGCGTGTCAAGAACATGATGAAAACCAAGTATCTAGAACATGTTGAAAAGTAGCGTGTCAAGATTATGATGAAAACCAAGTATCAAGAACATGTTGAAAAGTGGCGTGTCAAGAACATGATGAAAACTAGCAGCGGCGTATCAAGAAGGTGTCTGAGGCGGGAAGAGCCAGAAATAAGAGCTGGTGTCTCTCCGAGGCGAGGCCCCCAAGAGCTAATGTGTTGCAGGTGGCCTGAGATGAATTTTGCCCATTTAGAGGACTTAATTTTCACTTCAAAAAAAGACCTTTCACAGACAAGAATATGATTAGAACATGCATCTTCAGGACACAATGAGAACAAAGCCACGTTTTGCTATAAAGTAAAACACTCGCAACCGGTTTCTCTTTTAGAGCCCCCGAGGCCTGGTTGAATTACATGATTGTTGAGAACTAAGTGTAGTGGAGGGCATCAGAGCACTCAATGAAATCCTCCAATGCGCCCCTGACTCAGTGTATACTCACAATACAAAAGATGTGAATCTAAAGGTCCCTGTCCTATCTTACATGTTAATTATATATTTATCAATACTGTAAGTATGAAATAGGTAAAATCACTCGTTATCTTCACATGATCGTTTTCTGATAGCAGCTCGACATCATTTCACGTGATACCTTTTGTCCACATCTCAAAATGGAGTCGGATTTGAAATCTCTTTTTCTCTGTAGTTTTTCTCTGTTATTTTTAATGTTGGTGAATGCCGATGATCCAACTGATGTCTGCACTCAAATTAATTCCTGTTCGTGTCAGAATTCTAAAGGAGTGATAGATTTGAGTCCGTTAGCTCTCTCTGGAGGAGACCCTAAGTAAGTTACCGTTTTTTTCTAACAATTTACGCCCTTAGCTCTTGAGAGGCTAGGCTCAATGCTTTGGACAATATATGAACATCGGGTTTAGGTGTACGAGGCAGGGAGAAGGTTAAAGGAAGAGGAAGTTAGTTCGGCGAGGGGTTGGGGGTGGTCTTCTGTGGTAGTATCAACTCCCTATCAGATTTTTCCTGCAATTTGTAAAAACATTGGAGACGTTCAGGCAGTTTCAGGCAACAATCAGAAGACAATCATTCTCGACTTTCATCATTCGAAAACTTGACTGTGGCCTCTATATGTAGTTGGCATACTCTCTAAGACATAAAATCTTGCCCATGCCTTACTTGCACTCCCCATCTCAGTTGTCTTTGGATTTGAATATGTGAATTGCTATTACAGGTTTAAAGATCAGCAGGATTCATCCGGAAATTATTATTACTCCTGGAACCCCTGTAACCCATTTACAGAAGACCCAACCTCATGTTCCGGTGTTATGGTAAGCAAAAGCAGTATGAGCATGCAATTCTTGTGGTTGGGGTGGGGGTGTTAACACAGTGCTCTATCGTCTTTATTGGTTTAAGAGACACGACAGTGTTTGCTTGAAAAGCTGATACAGCCTAATTATTGGCTATCCACATCGCTTTTTAGATTTTAATTGCATTGAAGTTGAACGTCGGATATTGATTCTGATAAGTGACATTGAGAGCTGAAATTGAAATCTAAATTGTCATTTTGCATGGACATTATGATAATGAATTACTCTCCCTGAAAAAAAAATTAACCGTAAAAATAGCTAATAGAGCTAGTATGTAGATTGTAAAATATGTAGACACAGCTTTATGGAAAAACAATCACTGGTTAAAATTTTATGCTACGTTTTGTCGTGTTTCCCCCGTCGCCCTCAACATAATGATAAGAGGTGATGGGAAAATTATATATTATACATATGGAATAACAATCATGTGCCTGAGGACGACGGGGGAAATACGTCGAAACGTTGCATGAAACTTTAACCAATGATTGTTGTTCCATAAAGCTGTGTCTATATAGCTATTTTAATTGTTAATAGGCCAACTTTTATTGTTAGCAAATTGCATTAAATCACATAATCTCAACTTGTCACTCTTAACTGGGTTCAATCCTTGCTAAGCACCAACCTAGTAAGTAGCCATTTTTTTAGCATTCCCGTGACCGCATGCTTAATACAAGTTTGACTGTACCTTAATTTTCAGGGTTGCCAAACGGATATGACCAACTATTTCAGCTTGGGTACACCGGATAGTGCTAAATTTACTACCGACACATCAAAGGGGCTGATATTGCAGTATTCTGCCACCACCGACGCCACGAGGTAAGTCACTCTAAAGAAAAGGTCAAATAGGAATTATTTGAATTACTTAAATGTTACTTACTACTTTGCTTACTCCAATTCGGCTAATGAAGATGGGAAGTGTGCAATGAGCGAAATATAGCTGGCAATCTACTCAAAGAACATATTATCTTGAGCTGTATTTAAACCGATTTAATTTATATTGAGTGAAGTAACCCACAGAAAATGAGGAAACAAGATAATGTACTTTTATGTTGTGCGGACACACGAACAGTCTTTGTCGCCGATTTTTGTCGCCAACGCGAATCTTGAGTAAAATCTCACGTGTGCCCGAGCTTCCACGATATGATTATCGCGTTGTCGACAGGATTTATAATATCAAACCAGACAGAATGTCATCAACCAATCAGATTCCTTTTCCTTCCTATGCATAATCCGCATGTGATTATCGATAGTGGAAAACGACCGAATGGGGTTTTTTTTTGTCTCCGCGTGTGCGCGCAGCCGGTCGGCGAAACTCATAACAAGACTCAAGTGGGCGACAACAATCGCCGACCAAGACCGTTCGTTTACCCGCGCCATTAGCATTAAACTTTTAAAAAAACTGACAGTGTTGTAATATTTCAGGACGCTGGATGTCATATTGAAATGTGATGAAAGCAAAGAAGCCAGTTTGGCCGTGGCTGGTGAAAATCCTCCAGGGAGTGCAACTTATGTAAGTGCTACTCAGTTTATACTGCCTTGATCAAAGTATCTCAGTTGGTCTTTTCTACTTAAACGATCATGATATTGCTTCTTTCTAATTAATAATCAACGTATTCCAGCTTCAAAACGGGAATAGTTGCTCAACAATATTTTAATCCTAATATTGGGAAGTGAGGTCAACACAACGTTCAGGTTCAGTTTCATTTATAAGAAAATCGATGCACACTTCCACTTTAATGGTATTTTTTGAATAATTGGAACATTTATTTTACAGGAAATGACGTTAACCAGTAAGTACGCATGCCCATCAGCTGGTGGAGGGCCGACCATTACTGTGGGTTTATCTACTGGTTCATATATCACCATCATGTAAGTATTTGCGACTGGGGTTGTCAACTTTACATCTTTCAAAACCTTATCTATAACGGTTTATGACCTAGGCGAATTATGACCTTGAACTGATGATCAAAACCTAGTTTTAATACTTGTGATCTCTAAAACTTGTGGCCTAGTGTTCGACCTTATATTTGTGACCTGTGACTGAAACTCATCGCCTTCTGATTTGTGACCAACATTAATTTGGCCAAATACTCGTGACCTAGGCGTAATTCTTTTGAATTAATTTAGGCGTAAATCTATCAGTACTGTAATATTTCTAATCCAGACCTTATGATTGGGACTATAGACTAATTAATACTTGCTTCAACAGAAACGTCTTAATTTAATCCTTTTTTCAGATTTTTCGCAGTATTTGTAGTATACTTCATTGCTGGGGTACTCTTTCAAAAATTTGCTCGACACGCCAGTGGAAAGGAAATTACGCCAAATTTATCTTTCTGGTCGGCGTTACCCGGATTAATAAAGGTAGGCTAAGGGAAGTTGTATTCCTTTCTGTTAACTAGTAAAGTGAATAATATTTCTTTATAATTTCTATTGTATGCCTTTAAGACGAATTTGCTGTTACAGAAATCATTTAGATTTAGATATCCATTTAAAGTGATATTACGTCTTAGAATGAACATAAAATTTAGTTCTCAAGAATGGTCAATATGAGTATATATTCATCAGTGAACTTACCTGGTGTCATAAAGTTACAACAGAATCCCTGTAAAATCTAGAAAATTGGAAAATTCATAAAACTAAGTAATTATTGAAAAACGCCTAATCATAATATTAAGCGTTTTTCAATAGTTAATTGCATTTTTATTAAGTTTTTTTGATTTATCGGAATATATTTATAAGAATCCTGTTATGTTATTTTTGACACCAGGTATATCTACTGATGAATATATGCTCTTAAGTTGACGAGCGTTTCTTCATATCCCTTTGAAAACGTATCAAATTGTGTCTGGGTTTTTATTTTCAGGACGGTGTATTATTTACAGTTAAATGTGGAAAAGGCAAAAGTTCATATGATAATATTTAATGTTATACAGTTTAGTCTAAACATTGCTATAAATATCGTAGTTTTGAGGGGTTTATTTGCAAGTCCATTTATATGGAAGGCCGCAAGGGACAATTTCTCACACTTGTTTCAGATTCGTATTGCAGTCATCTGATTGGTTATTGTCCAAATGGTCCATTGTATTGTCTAATCAGATTACTGTATTTCTTTCAGTTTTCTGATTGGTTAATAAGCCTATTTAACTTTTTAAATTTATTAACCAATCAGATTGCTGATTTTCACATTTGTGAGATACGCAGCGGGTTGTGATTGGTCTAAAACTCTTTAACACCTTTCAATACCTAAGGTAATACAGTTCGATTTTTGTAGCATTTTCAATATTATCGTTGTAAAAAGTTTGAAACTTTTAACCCCAATTAATTTAAAAATATGTACATATTTATAGATTCTTAATTTATCAGTTTTGTTAGAAATAAACATAATTTTGGTTATAGAAATTTGCACACATTTAGACATTTGCCGATATTCTGCTCTTATAATCCATATAGACTGAAAACGTCAAGTAGCTAACTTTGCCATATTAACCGATTTGGCTCATGTTTTGGGTTTTTCCTACTAATTAGACCCCAGGGACTCGGAAAAACACTTAAAACCCAATTAAAAACAATTAGAGAAAAAAATACAAAAATTTTAGTTACAAGGGACGACTGCACGAAATGTGATTATACTCAAATAAATTTTTATTTTGAAAAGTTACAAAGCTACAAAGCCGAAATTTTGCACACATATCTACGTGGGTTAGCTAGACATTTAGAAGAAAAAACAGAACATATGCTCGATCTCCCAGAGACCTTGTTGAAGGTCTATCTGATGAATAGTAACATGTTACCTTTCAACCTTGAACCTCTCAAAGAAACATTGCATTAGGGGATTTAATTCATGATGGAGAGGGGTTGATGATATATTGATTTGGTAGCTCTGCAAAATCATTCATTTGGTGATTTAGGCATTTGATCAATTATGACATTCCATTGCTATATGGAAGACATTAGCTGAATATTCTTGCTCATGACTCATTGATTTCATTTATTTACTCATACACTTTAAGTTCCTATTTCAGAAAGTTCTATCAGTCCAAGGGTCTTTTTCGGAAAACGTTTACGAAGATAAAATCCAGATTTGAAAATGAAATGAAATGAATGGAGTTTTACGTCCTACTTTTCTGCACCATGTGGGCTAATGAAGACGGGCAATGCTATGCAGGGTGCGATGAGGGAAATTTTGCCAGGACAGCGGCATTAGCCTGCTCTTTTTCTATTTCCAACTGTCAAGGGATCTTTAACGTGCACAGCCTGAAGCACAAGGGGCCTCGGTTTATTTCCAATCCGAACGACTAGACGCTTTTTCCATGTCAGCCCCTCTTACCTGCATCACTGACAGGGGGAAACCGAAATCCAGATTTGAAAATGTGCAGTAATCTGATTGGATAATAAAACTATATATAATACTGATAAAAGTTTTCAAAGCCCCTGATGAAGAATTTGTATCTGTAAATGTATCAGCACCATGAGATGACCTCTGGTCAGTTTTAATTACAAGATTTTTTTTTCATTGAAATATTTATGTATTTTTTCTTAATTTCATTCTTTTACAATACATTGATAACATTATAAAAACAAGATATAATTCATTAATAAGAAAGATTTAAACAAAAACAAATTACATTACTATAATATATATACAAATTCATCCCAATATCACAATGATATTATCAGGGCATTATATCACTAGAAGTGGAGTATATCAATATTCACCATACATCCATGGTCTATTATCAAGAGATAATCATTCATTATCAGTTCATCAGCTGAAATTATAAACAGATTTATCAAAATCTCATCCCTAGTTTTATATTCTGCGCCTTCAAAGCCCTTGAAGGGAGCTGCGGTGGCTCAGTGATTTAGACGCTTGCTCCCTAACCTGAAGGTCCAGGGTTCAATCCCGGCATAGGTCGAGATAATACCTTCGGATTTTTCAACCCGGTTTCCCCCTGTCAGTGATGCAGGTAAGAGGGCCTGACATGGAAAAAGAGTTTAGTCGTTCGGATAAGACAATAAACCGAGGCCTCGTATGCTACAGACTGTGCACGTTAAACTCTGTTCATTTCATTTCATTTTTTTCAAAGTCCTTGAAGGAGTTCAGCAATCAATCAAATTAAATTGCTGCATTTACAAATTCAGTGATACAAGAAAGGTGGCTATTGCAGGCAAGGTATGAGACAAATTTGTCATTGTGAAGATGGATTGGCAAGTAAACCTCCAACTTATCTACTTCTGATTTCAAACAAGCATCCAATATCGTGCAGTACGCAATGAGGTAAATATTGCCAGTACGCATTCGATTGAGAACAGTCATGGCATCTTCAACATTTACAGTTTGTAGCAAAAAGGGCTTCAATTGAGTCACTTCACTGAAAGGGAAACTAAATTTGAGATAAAAGTTCACCTAGTTTTACGGTAGGCATATTCCAGGGCACTAGAAATAGTCCTCATATCTGTTTCAATACTTCGAGCCCAGTTCTCCACATCACCAATTTCCTGTCATAAAATATTATATTCCTGATGACGGTGTGATAAACACATTAAAAGTAATAAATATTCTAGAAGTATCCATCTTTAAATCTTATTTATCTATAACTTGTGCTCCTAATATGCCGTTAAAGGATTAAATATATTAACCCATTATTACAATCACTCTGACTAAAGGGAGATAAATCTTGAAAAGTCAATTGTGGTCTGAAGCCACCAGGAGAAAAAGCTATAAGGAAATTCAAGAGGTTTTCTAACTTTGTAAATACTAATAGTTTCTATTTACTTTTGACAATAGTAGAAAATATTCAAATAAACATTATAATCTGGTCAATTGAATGTAGTTAGTACCTTTAAAGCTGTGTTGAAATCTTCTATAAGTTTCAGCCATTGGATGGTTTGTTTAGAGAACTGGCTGGCATTAGCTTGGAGTATTTTGGTCTCTGTATCTAGTTTCTTTTGATTCACGTAAGCCTGAGCAACTCTGAAAATTAATCAACAACAGTTCAGAACAGATGTTCGCCTTCTTGAATAGTTGAATCATATGCAATGTAGCACAAAGCAAGTAAACCTAGTCATTCTGTCAAATTTAAGATGTATTCCCATTTACAAATAACCCGTATCTACCACTCAGATTATCATTCAACGAATTAGACTCATTGAAACAAAATATTTTTTAGGTAGCTGACAAATACCACTCACATAAGGGCCTCCTTAACTGGCAACATATACAGTGACAAAGGTGGCATCAAGGAAGGTTATTAGCTTCAATGACTGGAAAATCAGTCTGCTGCATGAAGGGTGAGATGGCAGATATATTTCAAATGCTCCTGACTGGACCCTTCAGTCCAGAGCTGGTTACTTACCCAGAATTGAGATGATCAACCAAAACATGAGACAAAGCTGTTGAAGCAACTATTGCATCTTTCTTACGTTTTTCTGTAAAATAATGTGAGGCAAGAATTTACGAAAAATGTAAAAAAGTAGAATTACTGCATCAATCCTTGAGCATGTACATAAATGTATCATGTTATATCAAAAGATTAATCAATTTCTAAGTTAGATTTCAGGGACTACTTATTTCAGGACTGGTGCCATGGCTATATACAGTACAGTGGTGTAACCTATTTTCGTGGATATAAGGATTCAACACCGAATTTCGTCAAAGTTAAAAAAACGAAAAAAAAAATTTATGTCTTAGATGTTTCCTCAGATATTCTACAAAATAATAAAATTGGTTTATTTCGATTTTCTTAATGAATCCTTCACTTTGACCCATATTTCATGAGCAACCAACTCGGGAACGGCGGCAGAATGCATCACCTATTTTCGTGTACAATGTTTTATCTATAAATAAGTCTAGAAAAACACGTTGTATGGATACCGGGTGTAATAATTAACTTCTCTTAGTATTTATCTTTAATATCAATTCATTATAACTAGTGACAATTCCTTCAAAGAACCACGATTTAAAAAAAAAATAGTGACTGACAAAATAAGATATGTAGCGTGATTTATTGCTAAAAGTCACTGAAACAACATAAGAATATGGTCCACTTTGTGTTCCATAGAAATTTTCTGCTGACACGGAATCCGCTAGTTGATCACGAGACTTCATTCGTTGGACTACATTCTAGCAGACGACACTTGGAATTCCGATTACGGCTAGGGATTATAAGGAAATTCGGCCGATAAAAAATGGTGACGTTTGGAAATAACTGAAATCCGCCATTTTGTATTTGTCAAAGTATACATTAATACATTTTACCTTGCTTGCAACTACTGGATTCATTCTACTAGCTGACATTGAAGAGAAAACCCATGTTTATTAAAACAAACTAATGCGGACGTCGCGCAAGGTAATTTTTCATGTAAATTATTAATCCTTTCCGGAAATCCACGAATAATAGGTTTCCACGAAATTAGGTTACTTGACTGTATATTATATAACATGCAGTGTATATTTGTGTGTGTCTCTTTTCAACTAAAATCATACTAATGACTAACTAATTTTCACATAATTGATAGACTTATCTATTGCTCTGTGACCTAGGCCAGTGCTTTCATTGAGACTCGTCTCAATACACCCTAACGCAAAGTAAGGGCTGGGTGGGCGTGGTTCTGTCAAAAAATTAGGCCAACAACAGATACAAAAAAGCAAGCACCTTGAATTTCCTTCCTTGCCGTTTGACGCATTTGATGTTGTTTGACTAAGTTGGACAACATTTTGCGTTTGTTGAATTTGACTCACGCCTACTGATCGACAATCGCTAATCGTCTAAACAATGGATCATTTCAATGTAATCATCATTTGACTCATTTCTGTTGTCATTTTTCTATTGCCGGAAACCAAAACCTGATTAACCAGCCCTTCCCACTCTTCAGTATTTAATGCTTTGACAATCGAGACTAAACAGGTGCCCGTTGAAATCTCGCCTTTTCCCGTCTCCTGCGTCTGCGAAATTTTTCGATGCAGATCTTGATGTGCTTCATTGTTGTAAATTATTAGGTTTTTTCTTCCGCGTAAAGAAATAGTTTTATTACTTTTGTCCATTTTCTAACTTTCAAGATAGATATTTTGAAAATGTAACAGAAAATTTTTAAAATCATTCATTGTTTTTGGAATAAGATATTTTTTGGCGAAACATTTTAACAATTTGTAGAAAGAATAAAATCTTGATACGTTGATAGACAATTTACTTTAGGTACCGATTGGTTTCTTATTATCTCGTACAAGATAATCCCATTCGGCATGGCGGTCGAAGAGTCGAGAGGCATTCTATGTCTCTTAATTTTTACACAAACAATTCTATGCAATGGATTTAACTTGGATGCTAGGTTTTCTGTGATTAAAAAAGGAGATAGCAGTGCATATTTCGGATATTCTGTTGCAGTACATCAAATTGTGAATGAAAATACGAACGAAGTCATTGACAATGTGTAAGTTTTTTTTTGTTATTATCATCCCTATAAACATTGTATTCATTCTTTTTCCAATTATTTGAATAATTTACCTGTTATTGTCTTGTTTTATGAAGTGATTTATGCCCAGATTGTGTGTCCGACAAGTTTTTATCTCTTGTTTTGGATGAAATATGGAGGTGTACTGTTATTCTGTCAGTAAAGATTGATATTTCTGAAATAACATTACAGCTGATAGACATGGTGGAATGCATGCAGTAGACTAGTAGGCCAAGCAAATCAATACACATAGACTCTTAGAGGCCTACATACACTTACATGATAAGTAATATAAAAATAACAGCAAAATTGCCAAATAAGCTATAAGGGAGAGGCACCTCACACATTCTCATGTTCTGACTTGCTAGAAATAGTGGAGACTGGAGGAAGGTAGCCTATTTTATAAATGATGATAAAAAAGTCAATATACATTGAAAAGGAAACTTTTCTTTTGATTCAAAGGAGGTTTTCTCATCCCTGTATGTGTATCAGGGACATATTGTATTGGTGATGGTTTATTTGCATCATGCTAGTTTCCAGTTTTAATGTCTGGTTCCTGTAATTCCAGAGAACCATGGCCAGATAATGATGTTTGTTTCATTTTGTCCATGTAAGAAAAACAAAACCCTGAAAACTGTTTCTGTTTTTAATTTTCCTACATAATAAAAGGGACAAACTTTACTGAGGCACAAGCAAAGCCCATAAAAGCTCTTTTCAATACCAGAAATAGAAATTAATCTCACCAATTCACAATAAAAACAAGATGTCATTGTGGAATTTTAATGGTATTTTTCAACCAAACATTGACATTTTCATTTTTCACTCTTTAACCTTTGACCTTTTCTATAGTTGACATTCCCCTCTCACTCAGCTGTTACCCAGACCCTAGATCTTGCACCCCTCAGGCTTGTCTAAATATCAACATCATATGATACCCATTCTTTCTCTGTGTGAATTAATTTCAAGATGGCTTTAATTTGTATTTTTTGTGCACTAAATTGGTTGAAGACCATCTGAGGTTAAACAAAAATTGAAGAAATTAATAAATAATCTAAAAGGTGGAAATTCTCTTATGTACTACACATGATATTCAGAGTACCAGTACTGATTTGGATTACTTATAGCGTAGGACCTGCTGGAAGACTAAAATGTCAAAAAACATATCTCAGGACCACTTCATTCATAAGACAAGATCTTCTACTAGCAAGTTTGATAACTAAACCAAGTATTAACGATCCAACGCGCGAAATTCAAACAACTTGTTTTAGGAGCTGTACTTCATATCAGGAAGTATATTAATAATTAGTGTGGACGTATTTTTATATGCCCACATGAAATGTGAAGTGTATCTTGCCGCCACCCACGTACGTACGTACGTACGTACATACGTCCGGCCGTCCACAATTGCTCTACAAGGCACAATTCTTGACTGATTTTGATGAAACTTGGTATGGTTGTTTGTAATCACCCAAGGATGAACACTATTGAAAATCCAGAAAATCGAAAAAGATTTAGTATGAATATTCCCTTTATTCAATAGAACGCGTTCAATTTTTAGCTCGTAAACATTCTCTAAAGCACAATTCTAGACAGATTTGGACGAAACTTAGCATGAGTGTTTGTTATCACCCAAGGATAAACCCTATTAAAAATCAGAATAATTGAAAAAGATATGAGTATGAGTTATTGCCCTTGTTCTTGAAAACACATTCAATTTTTAGCTCGTAAACTCTCAAGAAAAGACAATTCTCGACAGATTTTGACGAAACTTAGTGTGAGTGTTTGTAATCGCTCAAGGACGAATCCTATTGAAAATCAGAAGAATTGAAAAATAATTAGTATGAGTTATTGCCCTTGTTCTTTAAAACACGTTCAATTTCTAGCTTGTATACACTCATTTTGAAGAAACCATGGATGAACCCTATCTAAGAAAAAAAAAAAAAAAGACAAAAAATGTTTTATAGGAGTTATTGACCTCGCTCTTAAACACTAAAAGGCACAATTCTTGCCAGATTTTAACAAAACTTGGTTTTTGTTATGCACTATGGCTCTAAAAAGATCAAAAGAAGTGTATGACTGAAGGTTGAATATTTCATACTGGTGATTGTTACTGTACTGCTAAATATTTTTATTCAAAATGAAAGCTGCCAGTGGGGGTATATTACCTTGCCTGGCAAGCTATCTTATAAAGAAAAGTGGTCAAGAAGAAAATCTGTCAGAACCTAAAAATTTTGTGTTAACAAGATCCTTGATATTTTTCATTGATGTTTTCTGAGAGTATTTAGAGGTGGTGATAAGATTAAAGGGAAGATAATTAGCTTAATTAATCTGTAATTAACAAGGTAATTAAGACTAAGTGATTATTTATTGATAATAAGACAACCACACACTGTGATAATGTCTTTAACACACTCAGAATTCTGTGATATTTTTACACTTCTTGGTGCCATGTATGTTTTTTCACCTTTATGTTATGAACCTGCTAGTGTTATGTGTACCACTTTTCACCTTAAAGATGGGTTCCCTTATTTTTATTTATGAAAATGAAAATGCTTATATTTATATTAATAGAAAGTAGAGGTGTTCTAATGACTTGGAAAAATACCAGTTTGTCTCACATGTCCATAATTAATTCATAATTAGCTAAATTAGAAGAGAATTACCACCAGAATTCCAATGAGTGACCGATCAAGAAAGGTCAAAAAGTCTTTTTTTGTTTATCCAGACTGTACATACATGGACATTTATGATTGGTTAAAACTCAATAAGAACATAATATGATTAAGAATACATGATAATTCATTAGAAACACCAATTAATAAACCCATCTTTAAGGATGGGTGAGAATTTTTTTGGTGTGATTAGAAGCAGCGCCAGTGGGGTACAGGGGAGGGGGTGTTCGCTAGCAAAATGGTTTGCACCATTGATTTGTACCCCCAATACAGCCAATGAGAACGCAACAGAAAGGCTGTAAAGGTTATGGCTTTGTGTTCAAAGACGTTCTGTCGAGGGCTCTCATTGGCTGTATGCTACCGCCAATTAGGATCCAACAGAAAGACTGTAAACATTATGGCTTTGTGTACAAAGACGTTCTGTCGAGGGCTCTCATTGGCTGTATTCTCTAGCATACAATCCATGAGACAAGGAAGGTGGCTATTGCAGTCAATGAAAAAATGTAAAGTTTGTTATAGCTTGACATTGTGAAGATGGGTATCCTGACTTTAATTAAGGGCTCTAAAAAAATAAAGCCTCAGAGAGAGCTAAAGGATTAACTGCATGAAAATTGAAACTGAAATGAAATGGGGCTTTAGATGTATAGGATATAGCTACTATATACCCCCTTTGTCAAATACTGAATAATTTTACTGTTCACTGAACCAAAACAAATTTATTTTTTATAGTCATACCCATCATTACAGTGTTTTTTTAAACACTTTTCACATTTCTCTACCTAAATTTTGACATTAACTGACAAATTTACCGTCACAGTGTTTTTTCATATTTAGGGGAACATAATGTGATTGTATGATTTAAAGGGAGCCAACAATAGAATTTTTTCACTGTTAAAATAGTGCTCAATAAGTTTAAATCAATTGTAGAACGATATAGAAATAATAAAACAGAACCTAAAAAAACATGTTTTCACTTTGAAAATCGTTTAGGGTGAATTTCTTGAGTAACAACATGATTCAAGTTCTGTTTTAATTAGTGTTGAAACGATTAGTGAATTTAACCGTTTGTTACCCGGTTAATTCCGGTTAATTACTAAAGATTATAAAAGGAGTCAAAAACTGCATTTGCAGCGGTAACTCACCGTTAACTAAACTAGAGTAAGTGTTAATGAATACCCAGAAAGATTTTGGCTAGTTCCCGCGAATTGTCGGTACAATTTTTTGTTTGCTCCTGTTCAGTGAGTTTCACATACTTTGCTTATTGCATATTTTTCTGATGAGGATTGTTATTCTGAAAAATATTGATTAAACTGGATAAGTATTTCTTTCTCAAAGTAAAAGGTTAAATTTGTATGTGCATTGGGGACACTTGATAGCATTAATTTGAACCATTCCAATTTTCAATCAGACATCTGTGGTTCCTGCAATTCCACTAAAACTAAGTGTTTGATGACATCACTAATCGTGAAAGCCTTATACATGTGATACAAAGATTTAAAAAACCTCTCTACAATCCCTTAAAATGTAATAATTAAATCACTGCACTATAACTACAGTAGGTCCATCATATAAATATACTAAAATGATATAGTGGAATGGTGAAACATTGTTTTGTTGGGTGTGGTTTGTTTAATTTTAGATTTAGAAAATGGTCATATTACTATGTTATGTATCATAGACTGATAGTTTTTAACCTTAGGCCTTCATATTTGCTTACAGAACTAAGTTTTGTGAAATGTACGAGGAGTAGAAAATTGGTTGTACAATCATGACTGTTGCACATTTTGCACTTAATTTGGCTATTGAGGATAATCAACATCATGCAGTGACAAAATTTTGCCTGGACAGTAGCATTAAAGGGACAGTTGCACCATTTTTTTTTTTTTTTTAACAATCATACTCTAGTCTCAGAAACAGGAATTATTTAGCTAAGCCAATCAGTAATAGTGTCCACAGCTCACCGTCGAAATTTGAGCCATCAAATCCACGTGTGTCCAGAATTATCCAGGTTAAGTTAAAATGATGACTCATCAGTTTAAGATACTCTGTGATATATAGAAAAGACATACATAGGAAAAGTGAGTAAACTTCCTAGTTTGAAGTATTTTAAAGGAAATATACGATTTTTCTCTTTTCTTGAGACTCTGCTATATACACAAATCATAAGAATTAGAAACCTAGCATGAGGTATTTTCAAAGGAATTATGAGATTTTTGTACATTTCTAGTACTTCTGAAGAATATTTAATACATATATTCAAGACCGGACTCAACCCCCTTCAAATTTTTTAAAAAGACCAAATGACATTGTAGAAAACATTATTCAAGTTAAAACTACAAAGAAAACAATGCACTCAGTTTTTAACTATTGTTATATGCACAGAGTCAATAAGAAACAATGAGCTAGGGCATGATGACATAAAAATAACAGAAAATGATTTTATCTTGAATTTAAACTGTCTATAGAGGGACAGGTGCACCATTTTGGGGGGTTGATTTTAATCTTGAATATATGTAAATAGTCTTCAGAAGTACTAGAAATGTACAAAAATCTCATAATTCCTTTGAAAATACCTCGCGCTAGCTTTCTATTTCGTATGAATTGTGTATATAGCAGAGTCTCAAGAAAAGACGAGTCATCATTTTAACTTTCAAACACAGGTAATTCTGAACACACGTGAATTTGAAGCTCAAATTTCAACGATGATCTAAGAATACTATTATTGATTAGACCAACTAAAAAATTCCCGTTTCTTAGAATAAGGTATGATTGGTTGGCAAACATGGCCTTTTAAACACTATTATGCCAACGCTATCAGAATTATTGAATGTGCTTTCAATATTTTCCCAGTTGTATTGTTTGCTAATTATTTTAATGTTTTGTTAAAGAGAATGCTTTCTGTCTGGGTCATTTAGACTCTAATAAATTTCAACACTTAAAAATGGGTTTCCTTATTTTTTTAGTGTCAATTAAGTAAACTATTTGATTAATTGGTGTTTCTAATGAATTATCATGTATTCTTAATCATATCATTATGTTCTTATTGCATATAATTAAGAGTTTTAACCAATCATAAATGTCTATGTAAATTCAGTCTGGATAAACAAAACAAGACTTCTAACCTTTCTTGATCGGTCACTCATTGGAATTCTGCTGGTAATTCTCTTTTAATTTAGCTAATTATGAATTAATTATGGACATGTGAGACAAACTGGTATTTTTCCAAATCGTTAGAATAACCTCTACTTTCTATTCATATAAATATTAGCATTTTCATTTTCGTAAATGAAAATAAGGAAACCCATCTTTAAATATTCTAATTCAGAATTATCTGATGCCTTTCATGTTTGCATGGTGCATGAAATGGACTTTAGTTTCTAACCTCACCTGTGGATCTGCTTTCATCAGGGACGAATTATGAGAGTGTAAGTTAGTTTGTACAAGAGAGAAAATGTAATTAGTAAATCATTAATCTGGCTTAATCCAAACGAGTGATTGATTGAGTGAGTGACTATGTAAACAAATGAATGAATGAATGAATGAATGTCACGCTGACACACCACAAGCTGTGAGTGTTTATATAGCGATTTGTCTTTATTAGACAGGGGGGAATTATCTGATGCCTTTCATGTTTGCATGGTGCATGAAATGGACTTTAATTCCTACTCTGTACAATGAGGGAAAGTTTTCCCGGAAAACATGCCCTGGCTTTTTTTTGTTCCAACAGTTAAGATATCTATAACTTGCATTTTATTTTTAATAACATTAAAAATTTTGATGTTGTTTTATGATTTGAACAACCAAATGCCTCAGGAGTATTAACTGATGAGGATTTTGTATCCAATGCACATGTCAGCAGTATGGGATGGGATCTTGTCACAGTATATTGTTTGTAGTTGGATTGTGTATCTACCAATGTAATTAGGAATAGGACTAACATTAAAGGGATTGTTTTCCTGAATTTTTTATGTGCATCGGTGACACTGATAGCATCAATTTGTACCATTCCAATTTCCAATCAGATGTCTGCAGTTCCTGCATTTTCTCTAAAACTAAGTGAACGATGACGTTAAATGCAAAATTTGTCCAAGGCCTTTAAGAATAGTAGGGAGCCCCGGTGGCTCAGTGAGTTCGACGCTTGCTCGCTAACCTGATGGTCCAGGGCTCAATCCCAGCATAGGTCGAGATAATACCTTCGGATTTTTCAACCCGGTTTCCCCTTGTCAGTGATGCAGGTAAGAGGGGCTGACATGGAAAAAGTGTCTAGTCGTTCGGATGGGACAAGAAACTGAGGCCCTGTGTGCTACAGGATGTGCACGTTAAAGATCCCTCGACAGTTGGAAATCGATAAAAAGAGCAGGCTCATGCCGCTGTCCTGGCAAAATTTCCCTCATCGCACCCTGCATGGCGTTGCCCGTCTTCATTAGCCCACATGGTGCAGATAAGTAAGACGTAAAACTCCATTCATTTCATTTCATTTAAGAACAGTAGGAGAGGAGATGAATTTCATCCAATCTAATCTAGTAGAATATTATATATCAATATGGAATATGAACTAATGGAATGGTATTGCTATATAGATGCTATCTCTAGTAAAAATCAATGATTGTTTTACATGTTGTAACAGAACTATAGTACAGTAGAGATATCTTTTTATTGTTAGAACCAGGTGACTCCTAGCTCTGAAACCCAGACTGATCTATCTTTGACGAGGGCATAGACTAGGTAATGTAATTGTATTGCACTTAAAGGGATTATAAAGATGTGTGTATCGGGGACACTGATAGCATCAATAAGCACCAATCAGAAGTCTGTGGTTCCTGCAATTCCACTAAAACTAAGTGGTTGATGATGTCAGTAATCCCAAAATATGTTTTTTGACATTTATAAGGCCTTTTTTTTTCTGTGAGGGAGGGGGGGTGTTTCTATGTGGAAAATGCCAACCACTACGAATATTTTTTGGAATTATAGAATTAACAGAAATCTGAAAAAAACTGTTAAGCCAATATAATCTTGTAAGAGAAATGAATTTAAAATAGACTGACCAATGTTGACCTTTGACCTAGAACTAGTGTGTTGACCTTTGACCAGTAGTAAGAGTGTTTAAGGACCTATTGTAGTGCTGTAGTATAATAAAATACTATTAATGTCCACTGAATCGTGTTTAACAAGATTTTACATGGTCTAGGAATTTACTGTATCAATATTACTGGCCAATGATAGAAGGAAATAGAAAACTATATTTTACAAGGATAACATATTTGACTTAGGATCCTTTCTAAGCTAGAGCATGATTGTGTTCTTGGTTTTTAACATTTGCATAACTGTTTTGAACAAAATAGCGGATATGGGTTCTAATCGCTGTCAGCGTGTGAAAGTCTGATGACCTGGAATAAGTCATCTTCACTTGTAATTTCCTGTCGACTGAGCTGTTAGTTAATGGGTAGAGATAATTGCATGAAAGATCAATGGTAGATGTTTGGTGCAGGACCAGCTGGAAGAAGGATCGTTTGTGAACTTCAATTGTTATCTGTGTAAAATATAGTTCTCTCTTTCCTTTTTTCTTTCTTTCTTTTTTTCTCTCTTTCTTTCTTTCTCTCTTTCTTTCTTTCTTTCTTTCTTTAAACATGATACTGGAAGAGTATTATGTTGCCTAAATGCTTCACAAATATCTTTGTTAAGCATGATATTAGAAGAGAATTACGTTGCTTCACAAATATCTTTGTTAAACATGATACTAGAAGAGAAGTACGTTGCCTAAATGCTTCACTAATATCACAAATGAAAATGACACCAGAAGAGCAATGTAAAGAATGCTATACATGTGGTAAAGAATGTATTGTTTATAATATAACTATCATATTATAAGTATAGGATGGTTTAGATGACCTGTTTAATAGGATAGGATCATGTCATCATTTATAGTACTACACACTTACACTTTGAATGTACTACTATAAGTGTCATAGAAAATGAAATGAAGGGAGTTTTACATCCTACTCTTCTGCACCATGTGGGCTAATGAAGACGGACAACGCCATGCAGGGTGCCATGAGGGGAATTAGCCTGCTCTTTTTCGATTTCCAACTGTCGAGGGATCTTTAACGTGCACAGCCTGTAGCACACGGGGCCTCGGTTTATTGTCCCATCCGAACGACTAGACACTTTTTCCATGTCGGCCCCTCTTACCTACATCACTGACAGGGGGAAATCAGGTTGAAAAATCCGAAGGTTTTATCTCCACCTATGCCGGGATTGAACCCTGGACCTTCAGGTTAGCGAGCAAGCATCTAACTCACTGAGCCACGGCGGCTCCCAACTATCATAGAGACTGGTTGAACCAAGTCCATGGGACCCCACCACTAGGAGCTCCTCCACCCCCCTGGAAAATATTTTAAAAAGTTGCGAAGTAAGTATCTAAAAGGTTAACACACAACTTAGCAGGGGCATTAAATTGACTTACAGAAAACAGGAAAGCATATAGTTCCACTTGACTGATAAATGCTATGACACTTATAGACATAAATCATCCATGACAGGCAAATCATCAACATCCCTGGAGCACACCTTAAAGTATCAGATATCTTAACAAGGTCAAACCTAACTACCATTATCTATATATCAGTTTACAACTTTTATTCATTCTTTCATTCAATTATTCATTCATTCATTTATTCATTCATTCATTCATTTCTTTATTTGTTCATTCATTCATTGTTTCATTCATTCTTTCTTTTATTCATTTATTCATTCTTTTCTTTATTCGTTCATTCATTCTTTTATTCATTCATTCATTCTTTTATTCATTCATTCTTTCTTTTATTCATTCATTCATTCTTTTATTCATTCATTCATTCTTTTATTCATTCATTCTTTTATTTATTCATTCATTTCTTCATTCGTTCATTAAGTTAAAACTAGTGCCATTTGACTATTTCTGACTTGATTCAAAAGCACACCTTCATTTAGATAGACAAACTAGGTCAGGTCTCCCCACTGTTCTGTATCAGTTTACAACTGTTCATTTATTTTAAACATAAGCTCCACTTGACTTTTTTTCACCCTTACAAAGGACTAACCAACTAAAACTGTTGATTGTTGTGAAAAAAACACAGCCCCCTAAAGCGTTTTGTGATATTTAGTGGAATTCTATGAGAAAAAAACAACCTAGCGATAAGTTAGATCCTTAAAAAGACCTGACTGGCAGAACAACAACCCTGTTCATGGAGAAACTAGTCCTCAAGCTCTATTTTAGCTCTCCTACTTTGACATGGCTTGAGACTTACAGGATGATTATTGACACTTATAGCGCTATTTTACCTCTCGAAGTAGATATGACTTGTAAAAACAGCAAAACAACATTTCTATGTATATAGAATTTCTTAGATCACTCTTCTTGCGCTATAACAAGACATGGCTGGTTAAGGCTGGGCGATATTAGTTCAAGTTGATATCACGATATTAAGCATTAATATATCACGATATGGGTATCTATCACGATATTTTTATACGCCCACATCTCTCTATGGGGACGTATATTGTCAGACGTAGATTTTTTTATGGAATCAAATGAAATTCGGTATGTGTATACATACTCATAAAACGAAGATCATGTTCGAATTTGAGCTATTTTGGACCGTTAGAAGCAGAGTTATTGCCATATTTACAATCTGCGTGGGCGTATATAATGGCTGTGGTCCACTATCTTTTAAGTTTGTTTTTTACTAGTTTTTGAAAGAAAATTATGATCTAGAAATTTTAAATGTAACATAAAACAATAAATATTTCTAAAAACACCCCAGTCTTTAATATCATGAAAAAAACCATCTGTTTCAACTATTAAGTTACTTGTTAAAATTATGTAGTTTACATGATTAATCAGGCCATATTATTAACAATATAAATATCGCCCAGCACTATGACTGGTAAATATATGCAATACACCATTACTGGTCATATAACACCTCTAGCTTCTTTTTTTTAGATCTTTAAGTGGACATAACCGGCAAATAAAGCCTTATCAACAACTCTTTAATGATAAGAAACAAATGTGTTTTTTCTGTGACTGATAAAATGGATCTATTTCCAGGAATGATTAGCAGATAAATCTGGCGCCATTCTCCCAGAGCAATTGTTTGTCTAATAATTTGAAGGGTAATAATAGGATAGCTATTAGTTACTAAACCTACAGATAAAATATAGCCGAACAAATTGCTAGATTGACTGACAAGCTTCTAATTTGTATAGTCAATTACTGTAATGTTCTCCCAATATTGTCAGTACATCAAATTTTACTCATTAATTCTATGTTAAAGTAATACTACGTCTTAGAATGAACATCAAATTTCATTCTCAAGTATGGTCAATATGAGTATATATTCATCAGTGAACTTACCTGGTGTCATAAAGTTACAACAGAATCCCTGTAAAATCTAGAAAATTGGAAAATTCATAAAACTAAGTAATTATTGAAAAACGCTTAATCATAATATTTAATAGTTAATGGTATTTTTATTAAGTTTTTTAGATTTATCGGATTATATAAGGATCCTGTTATGTTATTTATGACACCAGGTATATCTACTGGCTCTTATTGGCCAAGTTTAAAATTCTTAAATTTTATGTTTATTCTAAGACGTAGTATCACTTTAATTTGAACATCAGCTTAAAAACAACATGTGTTGAGTTAAAAGGGATTGTTAAGAGGTTTTCTCAAATTTCATGTGAATCGGGACACTGATATCATCAATTTGCACCATTCCAATTTCCAGTCAGACGCCTGTGGTTCTTGCCATTCCTCTAAAAAAACTTAATGTTTGATGATGTCACTGTATGTTTCATCACATAAGGCCTTTCATGATTGGTGACGTAATCAAATACCTAGTTTTAGTGGAATTGCAGGAACCACAGAATGATGTCTGACTGAAAAAAAATTACAAACAATCTTAAACCATTTTTCATCTAAAGAATTTAGATTAAAAGTATCCAAAACACATCAGTAGGACATAAAATTATTTTTCAAGAAGCTGTGGAAAAGAAGGGTGTAAAACTCCCAATTTATACTATCTCCTCTATATTTTCAGATTATTGGTCGGAGCACCTAAAGCTGACGTACCAGAAATTAAAGTGAAACGTGGTGGTGCTATTTTTAGATGCCCGTCTGGTACAACTCTTGAAGACGACTGCATTAGGTTGTCTGATGACCCTTTCAGTAAGTTAATTCTATAATTTTATATGATCTGGATGATTCTGTCTACCAGCCAGTGGTTCAACTAGATGAGTTAGAGCCCATGGACGTAAGTTAGTGCCCCTCCACCAGGAATTTTTTTTTAACATATTCTCTGCTGAATTTTTTCTAGGGTAAGGGGCCCCCTTAAAAGTTGAGACCTAATGGTTCAACCAGGCCTAATGGTTGTTCAGCCACTACTACCAGCTGGACTAGTATCTTTGTAGTCTTTGTTGCATCATCCACATCCATTTACAAATAGCTTGACTATAATGAAAAAGGACTACAAGGCCAGCTGTTCTTTGAACAAACCTCTTGGCATTGACCAGTAGACCTACATATTTACCATTGGATTAACATTTGTGATCATAACACTTAAATATTCTGACAGAAACTGGAACCCATGACTACTAAGCAATATGGCATCAAATTTTAACACTCTTACTGAATGTGCTACAGACCCTCCTTAGCATATTGTAGGAAGTAAAACTCCATTTTATTTTATATTGTTATTTCTCTGAAATTGTCTCTATTGTAGATGTGCCACCAACTCAAGATGAAGAAATGGATGATCAATGGCTGGGTGTTGTTTTACAAAGTCAGGGCAAGGGCAAAAATGTTTTGGTAGGTACCTAGGCCTGTACAAGAAATTGAAGGGCAAAATTTTCTTTTATGTTCTTGCTGTACGTAGACAAAGGGACTGCATAATCGAGGTTATTATTTTCATAATTTTACAGGCAATCTTCACAACTCTTCCAAGGGAGATAACTCTTGATACAAATTTGTTAATTTTCAGACCACAATATTGATATTATTTTCCTATTTTTCATTTCAGACGTGTGGTCATCGATATAAACATACCAACAATGGTATAGGGGTATGTTATACACTGTATCAGGGGCTAGATTTCCAGGCACCGTGGAGACCCTGTATGGGTAGACCAGACAGCCACGATCATGAACAGTTTGGCTTGTGTCAGTCTGGTGTTAGCAGTATGCTCACTCAGGTACAAACATATCTTTTTAACGAAGGATAATATTAAAACCCTGTATATCTGGTAAGCTATTCAAATGCATGCAATACCTGATAACATTTTGTAACCGCTGCAGAACGTCTCTCTTTATGGGATTACTTGCGTTAAATTAACACATTAATATACCTATTTCAGTCTAGTAATTTTAAATATTGTGGGTGACCGCTTGACACCTCGTATAATGATATATGACGCGGAAATACTTTTGGAGAAAAATGCAAAAAACTATTTGTACGCGTATTTTGTTACAATCTTTTTTATTATTTTTTTTACCGCTATACGTGGTTTTCATTCTTTGAAAATATAAACCAAATATGGCATATACGAGGTTTCAAGCGGTCACCCATGATATATTAATACAAAATATTTACAAAATACATTAAAGTCTAATGAGTTAATATAAATCCCAAAACGATGGCATTGAAGGAAGACAAAATGGCGGATCCTCAACATCGATTCGCAGGATTTTCGAAGGGGAAAAAAACTCAAAATTTATTTCATTGTGTATAGTGCGCACCCATTCTGTCAGGGGCCCATTTTGGGGTAGAAAACTGTGCAGTATATTCGGAAATATATACGGTAGATGCCCACATTATACTTGACTCGTAATTTCAATTCCATTTATTCGGCAATGGAGGTTAATTCTTGTTGATTGTATTCCGAACTCAAATTGTTAGTTGACTTACTTTTGATCATACTTGACAAGTGAAGTTACCCACTGAATAATTAATTTTTATTTCTAAAACCAGTTGTCCAGTCGTTTTTTAAAGATATGTTATGATATTTCAGGATGATGGTTTAGTGATAGGGGCTCCTGGTTCTATCTATTGGAGAGGTTTGTACACAATTTATTTAAATTGTAAAAGAGATTAAGTTGTTTAAGTCTGAGTTAGGATCACATTAGAAGGAAGTTTAATATGATTATATAGAATAAAGAGCAATGAGATGTAAACCTCCTTATATAAGTAAGGAAGAGAAGACTAGGGTGTAAAAATCCATTTTATTTAAAGATGGGTTTCCTTATTTTTTAGTGTCAAATTAAGCAAACTATTAGATTAATTGGTGTTTCTAATGAATTATCGTGTATTCTTAATCATATCATTATGTTCTTATTGCATATAATTAAGAGTTTTAACCAATCATAAATGACCATGTATATACAGTCTGGATAAACAAAAAAGACATTTTGACCTTGATCGGTCATTCATTGGAATTCTGCTGGTAATTCTCTTCTAATTTAGCTAATTATGAATTAATTATGGACATGTGAGATAAACTGGTATTTTTCCAAGTCATTAGAACACCTCTACTTTCTATTCATATAAGTATTAGCATTTAATAAGGGAACCCCTCTTTAATTTCAGGTGTGGTGTTCAGATCTAATATAAGTGAACAGTTGGGTGCTGATAAAACTTGGTACAAATCTCCAGTACCAGTGGCTGATGGATCTGCTGGTTCACAAGAACCACCTGTAGACATCTACGCTTATCTAGGTATGTAATTATTAGCTTTGTGAACTCTATGAAAGGTATGTAGATTTACCTTGTGCTCACTCTACAGCCTACAATTCTCTATAGATTCTTTTGATTTTTTGTATGTGTGTCAATATCATTATGAAGATGTGCACTATTGAATTTGGTGAGAATCAGTTGATTTTCTTTAGAGATATCGCTTAAAACTCTGATTTCACACTACAGGCTACGATATAGAGTTTGTTTACAGTTCACATTTAGCTCTTTATCAAGCTGCTGGTGGGTGTATTCGCTTGCGAGACTTGCCTCAAGCCAATGTTATATTAGCTATGTAGACTCCTTTGATGGGATGTTGAGTTGACAAACCCAGATACCAAAAGAACATTATTAACAATGTAGACTCTCTGAAAGAGATGTTGAGTTAAAAACTATTAATTTTGTGGACTCTTCGAAAGGAATATGGAGTTGACAAACCTTAATACGTAATAAACATTAATTACAGTTATCCTCTGGAAGGCTTGCCAAATTGACAAACATATGAATAATTTAAGCTATGGAGACTCTCTAAAAGGAATATTTACTCTCTGCTCCGATAAAGGTCCAGGCCCTGATTGGTGCCTCGCCCACTTCTATTTTACTAGTGTAAACGGAATAAAGCGAGCCAATTTAATCAGAGCCTGGCACCGCAATAAGAGGTAGGCCAGGTCCGGATCGGTGCCTGGCCCACTTCAATTTTACTAGAATAAAACGAATGCGTGCCTGGCTCCGTTTAAACATTCTTCTGCGCATGTGCAGGGTTTACAACTTCCGTATCGGCGGCCATTATAAATCTACAATCTTTTTAATTAGAGAGCGCACGCTTATTTCCGTTTAAAGTGGGCCTGGCCCAGATCACAGGACGACGTTTTGATCGGAGCCAGGCACCAATCTGGGCCAGGCTCTCTTTATCGGGGCCTAGTGTAAAAGGGGTATAAAAGGAATGTTTACAAACATACAGAGTGGTAAGAGATATTCTATAAAAATAAGCATCAATTCTTTAACTGGAAATTTTTCATTAATTATTCAAAGCATTGTCATGTTATTTCATTTCTGAATCAAATTTTTAAAAATTTCAGGTTATTCCGTCACATCTGGTATTTTTGACAAAACATTAGAAAGATATTATGTGTCTGGAGCTCCACGCTCTCAGCTAACAGGGGAGGTAATTTTCTTCACCAAGAGTTCTCCAGATGGTAGTCTACGTTATGTGGAGACACAGAAATTTAAAGGACAGAAAGATTTCGCTGCGTTTGGTTATTCTTTACTGGCAGTTGACGTCAATGGCGACAAGTGAGTATTAAATAACATCATATCTATTTGATATGACAAAACGTTAATGTTAAAGAAGGATACTGGTGAAATCGGACTAAAATCGGAAAAGCTTTTTGCCATCCGATTTTTATCTCTCTATGTGGACGTATATTGTCGGCACCCCTCTCTGTCAGTCGGTCCGTCCGTCAGACATTTGCTTGTAAACGCTTTAAAAACTAGATTTTTTGATGGAATCAAATGAAATTCGGTATGTGTATACATATTCATAAAACGAAGATCAAGTTCGAATTTGAGCTATTTTCGACCATTAGAAGCAGAGTTATTGCCCTTGCCCCAAAATCTTGAATATTTACCATCCGCTTCTCATTGGTAGATGCTTGATTGATGAGTTCTGCATGATTGAAATTTATGGATTGAACAAACTTGATTCTAAAAATCCTGAATGTTCAATCAATCGGCCCCGTGGAAAGTTCTCTTGAGAGTCTGTAAGTTATCCACTTTCAGCAATTTTCATCTTCACTTGTTCTTGCCTTGGGATGTTTCACTGCCCTCTACATTGTCTTAGGGAGCTGCGGTGGCTCAGTGAGTTAGACGCTTGCTCGCTAACCTGGTCCAGGGTTCAATCCTGGCATAGGTCGAGATAATACCTTCGGATTTTTCAACCCGGTTTCCCCCTGTCAGTGATGCAGGTAAGAGGGGCTGACATGGAAAAAGCCTCTAGTCGTTCGGATGGGACAATAAACCGAGGCCCCATGTGCTACAGGCTGTGCA